GAAAGAAGAAGAAAAAAACCACACCAAACGTCATTCGCCCTGTGTCAACCCGAGCATGTGTGAGTGGGACCGTCCACAGGGTGGCGACCTATGATTTTGTCATAAAAAGTTGAGTACTGTCGGAAAGCCGTTGGTGGTGGCTCCTAAAAGCGCTGCCGAAACCCGGGATCGAACCAGGGACCTTTAGATCTTCAGTCTAACGCTCTCCCAACTGAGCTATTTCGGCGGCTCCTGGGCGGGGCTACTCCTCCGTGTGTGTAGTAAACATTTGTTTCATTGTAACAAACTAGATCTGCATAATACAGAGGTCTGACTGGAGTTAAGCATTCGATAAAAATCGCAGAGGTGAGAAGACAGGGCTCTTGTTATAAGCTAGAAGTAATAATTAATTTTTCTTTTAGCAGTTTTTTTTATTAACTGCTCTGTGATCTGCTTTTCTCCTTTAAAAAATAAATCGTGGACTTCTTTTCATGCCAGTTGTGTAGACTATTTCATTCTTTTTAACCCATACACAGTATTGAATTGTATGCATATAACACAATCCAGTTAAATTCCTAATGATGGACATTTTTACTCCCCTGCAGTTTTCATTATTAAAAACAATATTTCAATGATTATTATTTTGTATTTATTTGATATTCTTCTGAGAAGGCAGATTTCCCAAGGTCAAAATATAGGAACATTTTGAATTTTTCACTTATTGTCAAATTGGACTCTGGAAATGTATGGAAGAGGACAATAAGGCAATGAGTAAAGTCTTCAAATGTGGACTTACAGTGTTACCACCAGGTGCGGTATACATAGTCATTGTATCTCTTTGTTAAAAGCATTGATTTGCTAAACTTAAATATTTAAAATATACCTCAAATTTTGTAATTCCACGTTGGCATTTAATTTTTTTTCTTTTTTTAATATATAGACATTTGCCTAACTGGTTTGGTGGATAGAACGTTGACCTGTGGACTGAAGGGTCCCAGGTTTGATTCTAGTCAAGGGGATGTACCTTTGTGTGGGCACATCCTCAGGAGTTGTGCAGGAGGCAGCTCTCTCATTGATGTTTCTAACTCTCTATCCCTCTCCCTTCCTCTCTGTAAAAAAAAATAATAATAAAATAAAAAATCAAATATATATATATACACACACACACAAACACACAGTTAAAGAGTGGAATTGGGTCAGACTTCTCTTAAACTTCTGGAAGCAAGCGTGGTTTAATAATATCCCCTAATATGCTAGTTGTATTCCATCTCCTCCCATTTCATAATTTTGCATCCTTTGTGTTTGTATAACCAAGTGGGGCAAAAGTGGGCTTACAGTGCTTCGTATGGAAAATAACACAATAATTAATGAATAATAATATCAGAATAAACTGTTTTATGCACTCACAATTATAAACCTACTTCTGCCTCTCCCTGTATATATAATTGAACTAGCCTTGGCCCTGCTGATGGGGCTCAGGTCTATATATGTCTAAGCTGACCAGATGGTTTTAATGTGCAGCCTCCCTCAGCATCCCCTGCCTCAGTTCTCACACAAAAATGTAGTGGTTACACATAAACCCATGTTTCAATCGCTTGCTCAACCTCTCCACAGGTACCTCAATATGTCCAAGAATGAACCCATCTTTCCCTCTAAACATATTTATCTTACAACCACCTTCCATCTAAGTTTTCCAAGCCAGAGAAATACAAAGTCCTTCCTCCCTCGTTCTGCTCGTCACCCATAATTGTATCCAAGTGCCGGTCATTTCAGTTCAATATTTCTGGAATCCCTCTACTTTTTCTCATTCTCAAATCTTTTCCAACCTCTTCATTGATTCTCCTACTACAAATTTGTTTCCTGGTATCCCTCATCCAGCTTAAAAATTTCCCACTGGCTCCCTTGCTGAAAAGAAAAACCAAGGCTTCTTTACATGGTATATCAAGACTTCCCTAAGGGGCTTTCCCGCTCTTCAGCATCACGTCTGTGCTCTCCCTTCACTCTAAACTCTCAGCATCCATACAGCCATCCGCATTCAGGATGCATTCCTTGACTTGGCTCGTCATCTTTGTCCGCGCAGCATTTTTGCCATTCCCCTTCTACTAACCTCCATGAAAACTGCAACTCTACTAGAAAATGCTGATACCATCTCTTAACAAGAATTAAGAAACAGCCGAAACCAATTTGGCTCAATGGATAGAGCGTCTGCTTGGGGACTGAAAGGTCCCGGGTTCGATTCTGGTCAAGGGCATGTACCTTGGTTGCGGGCACATCCCCAGTAGGGGGTGTGCAAGAGGCAGCTGATTGATGACTCTCTCTCATTGATGTTTCTAACTCTGTATCTCTCTCCCTTCCTCTCTGTACAAAATCAATAAAGATATTAAAAAAAAAAAGAATTAAACATTCTGAGGGCATGTACAATATCTATCCCCTCACACCACTCAAACTGGATTGTAATTCTTGGTTTACCTGAGCTCCTTCTTGCCATTTGTATCCCTAAAATATATTACATAACAGACTGGAGTAAATGTTCAATGAATGAGGACATTCCCAGCCATATCTCAAGGCCAAGTGGTTTTTTACTAACTTCTAAAATCACGTGGTTGCCTGCAGGTGTGGCCCAGCATGGACCTATGAACCAGGAAGTCAGGGTTTGATTCCAGTCAGGGGCCAGTGGGGGGCAAGCAGAAGGCAGGCGATCAATGATTCTCTCATTATTGATGTTTCTGTCTCCCTTCATCCCTGAAATCAATAGGAAACATATTTAAAAATAAAATCACCTGGTCAGACGCAGGAGATGTGACCTTGGCAATGCTGTATATTTTGAGTTCTTTAGTTCTTGCCTTTAAGGATGCCTCATCTGGCCACCCTAGCTCCTTCCCCTGAGAGATTGCTGTGAACTAAAAGAGGGGCACTCTACTTGAAAAGAGTAGAAGGGAGAATCTGAGGAAAATACAACCAGATTATTTTGTGAATTTTGGAAGAGAAAGCCATAAGAGGCTTGGAATGCTTCCCTCAGGGCAGGGCAGACTATTGGGCAAAAGCTTTACAAACTTTTAGAAGCCAGCTCTAAATTTTAATGACAATCTTAGATTTCATAAGGTATACTGTTAATGTGAGTAAGTTCCGAAGACTTTTTTTTATGCCACCTTGTAGGACTACACGTTGGTTTTCACTCATCTTGCTGGAAGTCAAGCAGACCTTGAAATGTATGGGTTTAACATTTTTGTGGGACTTCAGAGGTCCCTCACAAGCATAGCAACTTGTAATTTTGCTGAGTCATCAATTTTGAATCCTGAATGTGATCGGACCTCTCAGGATCCATATCCCATCCCATCCCAATGTCACAGTAGTCCATTAAAGGACTAAAGGAGAGAGTATTAAAATGTTTACGGTACATTTGACTGCTGCTAGTGGAGGAAATTATATACCGCAGTGGTATTCAAGATTGCAGGACACAGCTCTAACAAATGTTTACTAGGATGATTTTTAGCTCCCTCCAAAAAACATTGCTGAAACTTAACATCTAGTCCAGCATTGGGAATCAGGCAAATGACTTAAACAGCTAAATGGCCTCCCCAGAACTAGGCTAGAAAAACATCCCTGACAACGTAGCTGTTGTTGTGGGCACTAGAGCCATGAGACTTGAAGGAGCCCGAGGCCAGACTTCAAGAATGCTCCTTCCTATAGGTGGACCCCTTCTTCCCCATATCCCCCGCAATGGCACTGTCCACATTAATACGTCCCTGGAGCCGAAACAGGTTTGGCTCAGTGGTAGAGCGTTGGTCTGTGGACTGAAAGGTCCCTGGTTAGATTCCAGTCAAGGACATGAACCTTGGTTGTGGGCACATCCCCAGTAGGGGGTGTGCAAGAGGCAGCTGGTCTATGTTTCTCTTTCATCGACGTTTCTAGCTCTCTATCTCTCTCCCTTCCTCTCTGTAAAAAAATCAATAAAATATATTAAAAAATAATAATACTGCGCGATGTGATCTAACCCAGGAGGAAAGGAAACAACTATCAGCGGCTTTCCAACCCAGTTTCTCCCAGAACACAAGGTTGAAGGGATCACAAACTCCAGGGTTAAACAAACCAGCTTTGAATTCCAACAATGTGACTAACAAGTCAGCTGTGTGACCTTGAGTGCATTTGTAGGTTAGCCGTTTCAGTGCCTCTCTTCCTATTCAGCATGGTGATTGTAACATGAACCTCTTCAGATTGTTTACGTGTAAACCAATGCTGAGTCCCTCGCAGTGCCCCAACACACACACAAACACACGCATTGCTCCGTAGATGTGCAGGCCTCCCACATCCACAGGGCAGGACCTGTGCTTGCTCCCTAGGAGGCCTCTCCAGGCCCCTTTGATTCCTCTGCCCTGCTCCTCCCCTCCCTGAACTCTACAGAGAAAACCTAAACGGGCATTTTCACGGTTCCTTCTCCCCATGGTCTTTAAATCAATACCTGTTTACGTTTCAAAACATAGATTTGAATCCCTATATGAAACAGCTCAGAATTTAAGAACCTAAACAGAAAGAGAAATGAAATTCTTATTTTTGAGGTGAAACAGGCCTGGAATGAATAACCAAGGTGGGACACTATGATTACAGTACACTGCGGCAGGGGGGCTCCAGAGTGCTGCTCAGCACCTGAAACGCCTGGAGTTCATCCCAGCTGGGAAGGGAGGAAGGGCAGGTGGGGAAGGACCAGGAGTACCAGTTTCCCCGTATAAATGGTACGAATGAATCCAGCTTCCCGAAGGGCTGGCTTCCTCTGGAATGACAGTGGCCCCTGGGACCCACACTGGCTGAGGCTGAGCCGTTTTTCCTTTGGTTTGTAAAGATCATCATCCCAGATTCCCGAGTACAGATCGCCCCTGGGCCCACTCTCCCCACCACTTCCTACCTATTGTAGTAGAAGTGAACCAGACACACAATATGACTTTTTAAAAATTATTTAATTTAGTTTTCTTGGAAAAAAAAAACACAAAAAAACAAGAAAGCAAAACAACCAAAAATATATATAGTTTTGTTTTGTTTTCATGTGACTTTATTTCACCTGAAGGACTGGAAGCTTCTTCCATTGGCAGGAATCTGACTGGGGACCAGGCTGGAAGTGTGGTGCAGACGGTGGAGGGAGAAGGGGGGGCAGGAAGAGGGTTCATTTAGTCGGGGATTCCTGCTGTCTAAAGCCTGATTCATCATGTCTTTGCTTTTGTAGGCCTCCCTGAAAGAAGCCCAGGACAACCCCTTGTTTATGCTGGGCTCTTCGTAGGAAAATCCCCAGCAGTTGCCCCTCTCAAGTTCGCCCCAGCTGGGAAGGGAGGAAGGGCAGGTGGGGAAGGATCAGGAGTACCAGTTTCCCCGTATGAATGGTATAAACCCAGCTTCCCAGAGGGCTGGCTTCCTCTGGAATGACAGTGGCCCCTGGGACCCACACTGGCTGAGGCTCAGCAGTTAAGGAACTGAAATAAAAAACACAAACAAAAGGCATACAAAGAAGGCACCTCAATTTGTGATCCTCAACCAAGGGTGGGTGGCAGGGGGTGAGATTTCAGAACAAGAAAACTCAAACAAATACAGAACAAAAAATGGAGGAAGCCAGGGCCCACTAGGGGTTCTCTCACCCACCCCATATGATGCTGCTTCCAGCCCCCTGTCCTTTGAAGGAAGTTCTTTTGGGAGTCAGCTGTGTGTGCTGTGATTTGGACAGAGGCAGAATTAAGTGGGAAATTACCCTCCTGACTGTCGACCCATATCTTCCTGACAAGATGGAAAAAAGGCAGGAAAGAAGTTAGGATTTCATTTTCAAGAGTCAGGTAATTAGGACAGGTTTCAGTAGTGGGCACCCCATGACACAAGCCATGGATAATGTCCCTGTTCGGTAGCTGCCAAGCATGGCCCTGCTCGGGTTCTGCCTGTCTGCCCTTACAGGATGGTAAGCGGAGGAGGGTCTGACCCATGCCCCATGTCCAAGAGACAGTCCCGGGGAGACCAGAGATATCAAAAAACAAGATTCTTAATGGGAATAAGGAAAATCAAACAAGAAAATTAGATTTTTCTCTACATATATATAATATACAGTTATTTAACACATTATTCCATAGGTGGCTCCAGTCCATGGGGCTTGAGAGATGGTGACAACTTTTATTCCAGATGAACTGCTTCTCTCAAGTTCTGCAGAGCAGAACGGGACAGGTAATGTTTTGCTCCACTCTGGAGGCACAGACCCAAACTGGTCCTGTGCTGAGAGAGAAGAGAAGTGAGCAAGGCAATGAAGGATGGGGTGAGGAGGAAGTGGGAAAGCAAAGGTGGCGGCAGTCCTCTTCCGTCTGCCTGTGTTCTCAGAAGTTCTCCGCCTGAGCAAGTCCATAAAACCCCTCGTGAGGACACTGCAACCCTCCGACAACCACCGAAGTGACCTCCGGTTGATGACAAAGAAGATGGAGAACAGCAGAGGGTGTTTTATGGGAGTGAAGATAGAAACTTCCAAGAATGTAACTCAGTGTTCCAACCTTACAGAACAATCCCCCGGCGAGTGTTCCGAGATGCAGTTATCTGCGCACCGACACCCGGGAGAGGGGCCCCCGGCGAACGTTCGTATCGTCATGCCTAAGCTCCACCGCGGCCATGCACGATGCCTCTGCTGGTGAGTCTCCTGTGTTTCTCTTCAAAGGAACTTCTTAAACCAGCTCTTGCTCTGAGCAGCACCAAAATGCCCCTGCGTCATAATCGTGTGTAGATCTTGGCTGAGCAGGACACGACAGGGGGAGGCTGGATGGCGCCACCTTACACAGGGGCAGAGGGAGAAGGAAGAGCCAAGAATACCTGACTTTGCAGACGTGGAATAACACTACCTTTCAGCCACTGAGCCTCTCCCTTACAAACATGGGCATCTAGTATGTTGATTTCAGTTTCAGTCAGCTAAGGCAACCAGCCAATCACCACCACTGGTGTCTGCTTCTGGTGATTGATTTGGAAAAAATGATTGGTTAAGACAGACAAACTCGAGGAAAGCCCTGGGTAAGAGGGTCCCAACAGCCAGCTTTCCCGCACATCCTCTGTCCTCTTGGCCTTTGACTGCTCTTCCTTTTCATTACTGTCAGTTCAGAAGATGTCCGGGCATGCGGTCCACTCCTGCTTTTCTTTACACTCCCAGTATCCTCCCCTGTAAATATGGGTTAACTCCTTGGTAACGGGGTCCTTCTCTCGCTTAAACCACAGTGCCTTGTAGGGATCGTATGGTGTGCCTAAATGGGAGAGTGAAGAAAAACAGAATTAGAGTCGCAGACACATCTGCAGTCTCCCCATATCAAGAAACGGAGAAGAAGGTAGATTTGTTACCATCCTCTGTGGCTTTCACAGCTTCTGCTTCTCTCTTCTTTCTGGCGAGTCTCTGCTTTTCTTCCAGGCGCTGCTTCTCAGCATTGGCTTCATCCCAGCGCCCATTTTCCATCAGCCTCTGGTCGGGCCGCAATCGACTGTCTGTGGGGGCGGTGCCAGCTTCCCAGGCATTGAGAGTTAGAGCAAGCTCTGAGAAGTAGTACATGTTTTCTGCATTCTTCCTAAAAGTAAAGAGCGAGGAAGAAAAAGGGTCAGGCAGAAGCTGAGACCCCAGCCAGATGAAGACAACAACTCCCAGCTGATGTGCTAAGGGGCAGACTGGAGCACCATGGCACCCTCCCCGAATTGAGACACCCAAACTGAACCATCCCTCAGGTTCCCCAGCACCACTCATTCCAGTTTTCTGGGCTTGTGTTGTGCTCAGCTGAAAGTAGAGAGAAATTCATCAGGAACAAGGAAACATTCTATTAAATGAAAATTCTTATTTCTTCTGCTTTCTTTTTACCCTCTTTCGGGGATAATCTTGACTCTTACTATGGACTGAACATATTAAATCTGACGGGGAAACGGCTTTCATCTTAATTTATTTCCAAAGTCCAGAACAATATCTCAGGAAGCTTTCCATTGCTGCTGGACCTTTAGGCTAAATTATAAGCAGGTAGTAGGCACCTCTCTCCTCTAGCCACTTCTGAAAAGTTTTGCTCTAAATTATAGAATAATGTCCTTCTGAACCACATTCCAAAGGACCTATAGAAAGCACTAAATATGGTTGGCAGATTTGGTTTGGTTAGTTTGAACTTCCTTGGGGTAAGGCATGCTATAACTCCAGCCACCCAGTGCCCACCTTCTGGTGATATCTCCAAAGGTTCTGACTTCTTTCGCTCAGCCCCTCACATAACGCAGAAATGTCATCAATATCACCCCAAGGTTGAGGTGGCAGAGGTATCTGGGCAGCATGCACACTGATACTCACGGCAAGGGGTTCCTTTTCCACAGCATGACCCTGCTCTCCTCTGCTTCACAGCTTCTCTGTCGAGCATCACCCCCATTTTCCCCAACGACAGGCTGAACTTTAAAACAATCCATTTTCTCATCCCAAGTCCCCAGCAGGACAAAGTGAACCTTCCCTGATGGATCTGTCACTTCCCCTGTCACCTGCAAGGATGGAGAGCAGGGCTTTAGAGTACAGACCACACTCACTGTGGGTTAGCTTACCTGCTCTTCTGGAAACCAAAGTCCTAGGGCAAATAGTGGTTAAATCCTATTAAGACAAATACCATGGAGTCATCCAAATTATTTTGTTAAAAATTTTAAAGCTGCTTAAAATAAGCAAGGCATGAGTTAAAGGAATTTTTTTTTTACAACAATACTATGTAGGAAAAAGACCTGACTGTTACTCAGAATTATGGTGTTTTCTTCTCTCCAGAATACAGAGCGTGCCACAAATTTAAATCCGTAACTATTTTTCACTCTCCCTTTTTCTACTGAAGAATAAACACACCGCCGAAACCGGTTTGGCTCAGTGTATAGAGTGTCAGTCTGTGAACTGAAAGGTCCCGGATTCGATTCCAGTCAAGGGCATGTACCTGGGTTGCGGGCACATCCCCAGTAGGGGGTGTGCAAGAGGCAGCTGATAGATGATTCTCTCGCATCAATGTTTCTAACTCTCTATCCCTCTCCTTTCATCTCTGTAAAAAAATCAATAAAAAAAAAAGAACAAACACATCTCTCTTGCTCAGACTCATTCTCATGGTCAAAGTGCCTGTGTCTTCTTCCTGTAATCCTTTCATTAGTCCTTCCTCTAGTTTCCCATGTTGTCTCTCATTGCTCTTGAGTTTTACCTTTTTTTTTTTTTAAATATATTTTTATTGATTTTTCACAAAGAGGAAGAGGGAGAGTTAGAAACATCGATGAGAGAGAAACATCAACCAGCTGCCTCCTACACCCCTCCCCCCCACTGAGAACGTGCTCGCAACCAAGGTACATGCTCTTGACCATAATTGAACCTGGGACCCTTCAGTCTGCAGGCCAACGCTCCATCCACAGAGCCAAACCAGTTTCGGCTTGAGTTTTACTTTTTTACTTGTAGTCTTTCCCAGAAAAGAGAAGGATTTGGTTTCGTAATGCAATGCAGTCTCCTTTCTTGCTGACTTTCTCCTTTACTTCTTTTTTTTATTTAATCATCATCTATATATATAAAACCCTAATATGCAAATAGACTGAACATCGGAACAACTGGTCACTATGATATGCACTGACCACCAGGGAGCGTGCATGGAACATGGCAGGTATCTGCAGAATGCAGAACATGGTGGGCACTGGCCTCGGAGGGATGATGGAGCAGGTGAGCAGGGGCATCAGACCAAGGAGGGGCGCCGGTCGCTGTCATTAGGGAGAGCCTCTGGTGGTTACCGAAAATTTGCTCCCATGCACGGGGTGCTCACACCTGCTGCCTGTGCCAGCCCCACTCACACCATTGCCAGTGCTGGAGTCAGCCAGGAGCTGCCACTCTTATCTGCTGCCGGTGATCTCTTGGCACTGTCAACAGGTGCAAGCGGCATCTGCCGGCCCGGATCACCACTCAGGGCTTCTCCACCTCCCTCTGCTCCTGAGGGGTGCTCAGAGCAGTAGCCGCCGCTCGCACCCACTGACAGAACCAGTCCCAATCACTCCGTGCCATCAGCAGATGGGAGCAGGGTTGGCGTTGTCAGCACATGGGAGTGGTGGTGGTGGGAGCGGAACTGCCAGAAAACAGGGGACCAGAAGCCGCAGCAGAAAGGGCCAGGTGGGGGTGTGGAGGATGGGGCGAGACCTGGCCATGTGCCCTCTGCACCCTCGCTGCCCACAAGTCCTTCCAAAGTGCATGAATTCGTGCACTGGGATGGACACACACACACACACACACACACACACACACACTGAGTGGCCAGGTTATTAGGGGTTCGGAGACCATAATAATCTGGCCACTCAGTGTATATGTTATATATGTGTGTTTTGGAGATACATATATTTAGACACTCTCTGTCTCTTTCTCCCTCCCTCCCACCCCCTTTCCCTTCCCATCCACTCATCCAACCATTAATCCCAGCCCCAAAGGAGTAGCCTTTCTAAGGGATATACACTAAATGAAAAAATTTAAATTCCAACTTCTCTTACCTTTCTTGCTACATCCCGAGAAAAATAGCTATAAGGAACAAATTTAAGATTGCACTTGTCTCCTGTCTTGTGATTTATAATATCAATTTCACCAGACTATAAAATGAAAAGAAACAAGGATTAGTTTTATTAAGACTGGATGATTTGAATATATGCAACTCCATGCCTCATAATTTTTTTAAAAAATAAATCTTTATTGCTCAGATTATTACAATTGTTTCTCCTTTTTCTCCTATAGTTCCCTTCCTCCTGGTTCCCCCCACCCTCTGCCCTTACATCCCCCCTGCCATTGTCCTCATCCATAGGTGTACGATTTTAATCCAGTCTCTTCCTGCACCCCCCACACCCCTTTCCTCTGATAATTATCAATCACTCCCCCCCCTTTTTAAAATATATTTTATTGATTTTGTACAGAGAGGAAGGGAGAGAGATAAAGAGTTAGAAACGTCAATAGAGAGAGTCATCGATCAGCTGCCAGCTGCACACCCCCTACTGGGGTTATGCCCACATCCAAGGTACATGCCTTTGATTGGAATCGAACCTGGGTCCCTTCAGTCCCCAAGCCGACGCTCTATCCATTGAGCCAAACCGGTTTCGGCTACTCCCTTTCTTTCATGCCTCATAATTCTTATTTACTATCTTACATTCCAGCACTCCCTTGCTTTAGATTCAGGTCTCAGCCAACTTTGAGATGCTATGAAATTCCTTTGTAATCTTGGTTTGCCAGCCTGGGATGAAGACCAACTGACCTTTGCTTTGTTTTTCTTTAAGTTGTGTGTCACGTTAGGTGCCATGATTTGACCTTCAGTACATATACTGATATTCATGTCATAATTTACTTTTCCAAACCAATCCTCAGTCGAACTCTGTGCTTAAATCAAAGGATTCCAGTCCTGGCTGGGTGACTTAAGTTGGTTGGAGGGACATCCCATACACCAAAAGGTTGCAGGTTTGATTCCTGGCTGGGGCACATGCCTAGGTTTTGGGATCAGTCCCTAACTGAGGAGTGTATGGAGGCAACTGATTAATATTTCTCTCACATCAATGTTTCTCTCTCTAAAAATCAATAAAAATGTATCCTTGGGTGAGATAAAAAAAATATATATATATATTAGACTCACAATTTCAAGGTTATGTGTTGTAGGCCTTTCTACATTTTATTCCCCATATCTGCCATGAAGCTTTTCCTGACAGTTAAGATAACATTCCCTCTCTTTTCTGAATTTATCACAAAATCATTGTCTTAAGCACATATCAACAGTTAAACAGATACATTAGTACACCTCTTCCCATAGAGTATTTTGTTAGACTTTCCACCTAAACAAATTAGTCACATATGCAATGAAACAATAACTCTTTGAAAAACAACGTTTCATCTGACTTTGTATCCTTAGGCCCCGATAGTAAACTCTGCCCGATAGTAAACGTCTAAAGAATAATGAAAGAATAAAGTGGGAGTTGTGTTTTATTATTTTATTTTTATTGATTTCAAAGAGGAAGGGAGAGGGAGAAACATCATCAATAAGAGAATCATGGATCGGCCGCCTCCTGCACACTCCCTAGTGGGGATTGAGCCCGCTACCCAGGCATGTGCCCCTGACTGGAATCAAACACAGAACCCTTCAGTCTGCAGGCTGATGCTCTATCCACTCAGCAAAACCAGCCAGGGCTATTATTTTCTTTTATTCTTCACAGTGCCCACAGTTCTAGTGGTCACTGAATGTTATAAGTTGGTCATTTATAAATAATAATGTGTGGTATAGAAACTCTCGGGGAGGTTAGGAAGGGGTTACTGCCTAAGAGAAATTCCTCAGGAGAAACTGATAAGCCAGTAACAACAGTCTGGGCTTCAGGAACATGTTAGGCATGCTCACTCACCTGATCGATCCACAACTTGCCCACGATAATGTTGTGCACTGTTGTGGTAACTTTCTTCCAAGTGTAGTGGTGACCACTTTCCTTGAAAATACAGTGGATGGTACCTGGAAGCAGGGAGAGATATACAAATTAAGCCCAACAATTAGAAAAAAATAGCACCATGATAGCTAGAAAAACAACAGATTTTCTTCTTTCAGTATTTCTTACTTTTAAAAGGAAAATAATAAGTTAAAAAGTAATTTATAGCCTTAACGGGTTTGGCTCAGTGGATAGAGTATTGGCCTGTGGATTCAAGGGTCCCAGGTTCGATTCTGGTCAAGGGCATGCATCTTAGTTGCAGGCACATCCCCAGTAAGGGGTATGCAGGAGGTAGCTGATCAATGTTTCAAAATTCTCTCTCTCCCTTCCTCTCTGTAAGAAATAAAATATATTTTAAAAAAAAAGTAATTTATAATATTTTTTTGTTGTTAATCCTCATCTATTTTTTTGCATTGATTTTTAGAGAGTAGAGAGTAGAGGAAGGGAGGAAGGTAAGGAGGGAGGGAGGGAGGGAGGGAGGGAGAGAGAGAGAGGGAGAGAGAAAGAGAGAGAGGGAGGGAGAGAGAGAGAGAAAGGGAAACATTGATGTGAGAGAGACATAACAATTGTTTGTCTTTTGAATTTGCTCCATCTGAGGACCAGGGATTGAATCTGCAACAGAGATATGTGTCCTTGACTAGAATCAAACCTGCCAACTCTTCAGTCTGCAGGCCGACACTCTAACCACTGAACAAAACAGGCTAGGGCAGAATTTATAATTGTCTTAAAAGATGGAAGCACTGACTTATTTTTTTCACTTGATTTTAAAATTTGTGAATAAAACATAACTAAATGATGACAAACACTGACAACTTAGCTAGGAAGCAAGAGCGCACAAGTGTAGAAATAAAAATGAAAGCAAAACCCCCAATCTTTTCTCCACCTGTGACCACCATACCAGCTGCAAAATTTCTAGAAACATGAAAAAACAAAACTGCATGGTGGAAAATAGCATGCATTGGTAGTTAGTACTGGGGCCAGATCCTAATTTTTGGTAACTAGCTGTGTGACTTTCAGCAAATCACTTACCTAAGGGCTTTAACAATAAAAAAGGAGTAGCAGATAGAGCTGTAGCTTTGAAATCAGATAGAACTGGATTAAGTCCTGGCTCCGCTACTCAGTAGATTTGTGACCCTGTATTGTGTAATAAAGAATTTGTCTGCTTTTTGTCCATGGTTCCTGGGAAGAAACCTCTACATCCTTGGAATTTATCAAGTGATGGTAACGTTTTGTTATTCATGGGGATCCTGAAAGTTTATGTCAAAGAGTCATAGCAGTAGGGACCTAGATAGCTTATGCTAACAAGATGGTTCAAAATGAGTGCAGGCCAGAAAGACTAACGATGACTCAGAAAGTTACCTGATAAAGGCTAGATCTCCTGACCTCTTGGAAATGATATTCCCTTCCCTCCAGGAGGGAAGGAGGCCTGGACATTGAGTTCAATCACCAGGCCCATGATTCAATCAACCACACCTACATAAATGAAACCTCTGGACAGTGAAACTTAGAGGCACTTCCTGGTGTGTAAACATCAACATGCCAAGAGGATCATGCTCCCTGATTCCACAGGGAGAGGGCATGAAAGCTCCATGTTCAGGACCATCCCAGACCTCACCCTACATGTGTCTTCATTTGGCTGGTTCTGATTTGTATGCTTTGTAATAAGACTGTCATAATGAGTATAACATTTTCCTGAGTCCTGTAAGCCATTCTAGCAAATTATTGAACCTGAAGGAGTCGTGGGAACCCCGAAATTGATAGTCAGTTAGTCGTATGTGCAGGTGGCCTAGGGATCTACAAACTTCTGGCTGACATGTAAAGTGGGGGCTGACTTATTGGAGACTGTACCCTTATCTTATGTGGTTGGTATTTACCAAGGCGGGTAGTGTCAGAACTGCATTACGTTCTACACCCTGGGAATTTCTTAGGCCTCAGTTTCATCCACCTGTAAATCTGGTGTAATCATATCTTGTGCAGTAAATGTTTATTTACTCAGTAACATGCTTGACACCTAATAAGCACTCAGTGGATATAGTCTCCTCCTGTTCCTATGAGTTAATCTCCAATGAATACCAAATAAAAATCAGTTAGTTGTTTGAAAAGAGGTGACTGAAGATTCAAAATAAAAAAATTTAAAGATTTTTTTAAAATTATTTTGACACACACACACACACACACACAAAATAACAGTCAATTCCCTCTGTAACCACTAGTGAAAAGGACACATGTGGCTTAGGTGTGCCTTTCTTGCACAAAAGATTAAAGTATCCCTGGTAGCTACAGCAGATAATGATGATGACATGACACTGACAATAATATTAGCAACTCTGTGAGAGCACCACTGTGAACCACACACTGTGCTAGGTTCTCCTCATATCTCATCTAACTTCATCTTCGTAACCATCTTAAAAATATATCCAAATTTCTTGCTCAACACCTCTCCCACCACCACTGCAGTCTAAACCACCATCACCTCTTGCCAGAACCTCTTCTGGCAAGTAACAACTTCTTTTTGGTCTCCCAGTTTCCACTTTTGCTCCCTTAAAGTCTCTAGTCAAAATTATGTATTTAAAACATGGCATATCAACTTAACACTGCGAAAAATCTCTCAATGACTTTCCACTATAATTAGAACAAACCCTCTCAACTCATCCATCATTTTCCTCCTTGCTCACTCTGAACTACCTACTGTGGCCCTGTTCTCAAACTGGCTGTGCTTGCCCCCAACTCAGGACCTTTATCTTTCAGGGTCACTCTGCCTGGAATGCTCTCCCCCAAATCATCTTTTGGTTGATATAATCTTTTCAGGGAGAATTTCCTTGACCACCTTATCCAAGAAACCACACACACACACACACACACACTTCTTATTAACCCCTATCTCCACTTTATTTTATCCATATATAAAGTTATTCATGTCTTTACTTTTTTGTCTACTTAAGAAAAGAATGCAAGCTAAATGAGAGCAAAATAGTTTTTGTTCACCACTGCACCCTTAGCACCTAGAATATTTCTTGGCATATACTGACACTCAGGTAACTATTGCTATAAACACTATTATCCCCCATATTTATTTCATGTGGTTGCTGCAACCAATTGACACAACTTAATGGCTTAAAACAACACAATTTATGCTTTTACAGGGTAGGAGCGGGCTAGAAGGGATCAATAGGGGAAAAGCAGGGGCATATGTAATAGTTCCAACAACAAAGATTTAATTTAAAAATATAATAAAAATACATAAACAGCCGAAACCGGTTTGGCTCAGTGGATAGAGTGTCAGTCTGCGGACTCAAGGGTCCCGGGTTCAATTCGGTCAAGGGCATGTACCTTGGTTGCAAGCATAACCCCAGAAGGGGGTGTGAAAGAGGCAGCTGATCAATGATTCTCATCGATGTTTCTAACTCTCTATCCCTCTCTCTTCCTCTCTGTAAAAAATCAATAAAATATATTTTTAAAAAATATATAAACAAACACAGAGCCACTTCAAATGTAGAAAGGGGAAGCCACTTCTAGAATGGTGGAGTAAGGACTTCCATATGTCTACTCAACAAAATCAACAAGAATTCTAGCAAAGACTATCAGAATCAAGCATTTTAGATCTCTGGAAATTAAACAAAGGCTTACAATAATTCAAGCAGCATTTATTCAAGACAAATGGCTGAATCAGAGTAAGAAAAATGAGCTATGTGGCAGGCATTTTAACTTGCTCTCCTCCCGCCCTCCTCTCACCAGCGTGGCAGCAGCCTTAATTTCAGCCTAGGAAAACATTTCTGGGGAGCCTCAAACTTCACAAGTATGAAGCTCCCTAAAAGCCCCATCTTCAAAACACTGTCATTACCTGACCATTGTGGTGGTTCCTGGTAAACTCCCACTCACAGGGCTTATCTTTATTTGACCTGACTCAGCACCTGGTTGACCTTGAATAGCCTTTTCCCTGGGGTGATTATCAAAACCATCAGTGGCAGTGATGCTTTAACACAAGAGCTGCCTGAAATGGTGATAAGAGTTGGAGTAGTTGAAGAAATATAGGCCAGAAATTCCCCAAAATTGACAAACACCTTAATCTACACTGCAAAGAAGCTCAAGGAACTCCATGTAAGATAAACTCAAAGAGCACCACACCGAAGTCTATCATAATCAAACTATTAAAAGACAAGGACAAGCTCTAGTTGGTTTGGCTCAGAGGACAGAGTATCAGCCTATGGACTGAAAGGTCCCAGATTCGATTCCAGTCAAGGGCACATGCACAGGTTGCAGGCTCAATCCCAAGTGTGGAGCGAGCAGGAGAAGGCAATAGGATGACACATTATGACACATTCAAAAGGTTGAAGGTAAAAAATTGTCAAACCAAAAATTCTATATCCAGCAAATACATTCTTATTAAATAAAGGAAAATATAAGACATTCCCGGTTAAACAAAACCTGAAAGAATGCCTAGCTAGCTGGTCTGCCCTTCAAGAAATATTAGTCCTTCAGGCTGAAATGAAAGGACACTAGACAGTAAATTAAATCTACATTGAGAAATAAAGAGATCAGTAAAGAAAACTACAGTTAAGCTATATAAAAGATAGTACAAATGTATTTTTTGCTTGCAACTTTTTTTCTTCCATATGAGTTAAAACACAACTGTATAAAGCAACAGTTATAAAACTATGTTAATGGAATTATAATGTAAAAAAAAATACAGTTTGTATGGAAATAAAAGCACAAAGCAGGGGAAAGGTAATGGATCCATACAGGTGGCAACGTTTTTGTACAGTATTGAAACTAAATTTCAATTTCTTCAAGTATTAACCTGCACTAGATTATTAGAAGTTAATGTAATATGCAGGATACCCACTATGAAAATACCTTTAAAAATATAGTAAAAGGGGACTCTTTCCCCCTCCTCATATGGGAGTCTGTATTTGTTCTTTAATAAATTTCACCTTTATTATACAAAAATAAAATAAAATAAAATACAGTAAATAACAAGGGAACTAAAATGATAAATTTTAAAAATATCTACTTAATACAAAAAGGTACTAATGGAGGAATAGAGAAACAAAAAAGACATAGAATGTACAAAAAATATATCAAATAGTGGGTGTAAGCCATACCTGATCAGTACTTATAATAAATTTAAGTTGACTGAACACTCTAATAAAAAACAAAACACTTAGAAATTGGGAGAATGGATAAAAGGGAAAAGAAGGGGATTTTTTATAGATATTTTTATTGATTTCAGAGAGAAAAGAAGAGGGCAAGAGAGAGAAACATCATTGATGAGAATCATTGATAAGCTGCCTCCTATATACCCCACTGGGGATCCAGCCCCAACCCAGGTATGTGCCCTGACCAGGAATTAAATAGTGACCCTCTGGTTCATGGGTCGATGCTCAATCACTCAGCCATGCCAGCCGGGCTATTCCTATTTTTTAAATGTACACATGACCCTCCTTAAAAATTAAATATAATACGTTTGGAGATCCTCAAGGGGCCTTGCTGGTGAAAAGTCCTATTACAATATGACCCTTGTCCTGAAAATTAGGTGTGAATATCCCAGGTATTTACTACTCTTAATGCTTCTAAAATTATTAGCTTCAAAGATAATTAAGCAATTGGAACCTTTTTAAAGGTCCTCAGTAAAGATCAAGACCAAAAGTGCTTAGTCTCCTTTTCATCTACGAGCCTTTTGCATATTAAGCATGAAATAACACAATTAACACTCCAGTTTCTTTTCTCCTTTTGTAATTATAAACATTCCTGTTTTTTTTTCCTGGCTAATTTCTAGTTTTCACTATATCTGCCATATTTACTGTTTCTGGGAGAAAAGGAACTCATTAAAAAGACGATTGCTGCCCCATCTGATTTGGCTCAGTGGATAGAGCCTCCACCTGCGGACTGAAAAGTCTCAGGTTCAATTCCAGTCTAAGGCATGTACTTCGGTTGCAGGCTCAATCCCCAGTAGGGGGTATGCAGGAGGCAGCCAATCAATGATTCTCTCTTATCATTGATGTTTTTCTCTCTCTCTCCCTTCCTCTCTGAAATAAGAAATATATATATATATATATATATATATATATATATTTATGTTTTAAAGATAATTGCAGTGCACTAATCAAACACTGCAGCCAGGCTTCCTGGAATATGAAACCAGGACACAGAAAGCCATAGGAGCTCAGGCAGGTACTGTCAACTGACTCCAGAGAGCTATTTGGTTTCTTTCTGCCTGCTTTGTGCTTCTTTTTATGCAGATTAGCATTTGCTCTTCAGTACACACATAGCCAAACGTGGGCTGCTCAGTTCAGCAGCATATCGAGAAATTTTGCTTCATTTCCCCTAAAAATCCTAACACTGTATATCAGGATTCCTATTCCCAGGCGTGATCTTTTTTATCTTGGTGCAAAATTAACTTGTAATCCAATAGGATCTTTCATGTTTTGTGTGTGTGTGTGTGTGTGTGTGTGTTTTTAATCTTCACTCAAGGATATTTTTCCATTGATTTTTAGAGTCGAAGGGTGGGTAAGAGACAGAAAGAAATATGGATGTGAAAGAAACACATCGGCTGGTTGCCTCCTGCATGAGCCCCGATCAAGGCCCAGGCTGAGAAGGAGCCTGCAATGGAGGTATGTGCCCTTGACGGGAATCTACTAGGACCCTTTGGTCCGTAGGCCGGCATTCTATCCACTGAGCCAAACTGGCTAGATTATGGATCTTTTAAAATAAAATTTCCTGCCTTAGTCAGTTTGGCTCAGTGAATAGAGCAAAGGCCCAAGAACTGCAGTGTCCCAGGTTCAATACCAGTCAAGGGCATGTACTGTGGTTGCAAGCTTAATCCCCGGCCCTGGTCTAGGTGCATGCAGAAATGCAACCAATTGTTGAGTCTCTCTCACATCAATGTCTCTCTGACTTTCCCCCTCCTTTCCACTCTCTGAAAATCAATGGAAAAATATCCTTGGATGAGAATTAAAAAAAATAGAAAGAAAGAAAGTTTCCTCTTACCTGGAAGTCTGCCTTTATATAAATGATACCTAACCCATCCGATAGAGGAAAAGAAGGTAGAAAGGAGAAGAGAGGAGGAGAAGGGGGAGGGATAGCTGAGAAACCTAACCATGTAGTCACAATATTTTTTATTTATAGAGAGAACTCAATTGTTAGGTAATAAGAGAAAACACCAGTTAAGAGACTTTTTGTATGTTTAGAATTTATATTCTAAAAGAATACTTAAAGCTGCATTAAATATAGCTAAGACGACAAAAAATGTATAATTGGATAGATCCTTAAAGCCTCATGCCTCCTCACTCAATCAACAGCTGAGAAGTTAAATGATTTGCGTAGGAATAGCAATGAGGTTCAGGACCCAAATCAGACTCTACCATGCTAGGAGCACTAGTTATTACAAAAATGGTAGCCTTACCAAGGGGCATAATGGAGAGATATTTGCCTCGAAACTTGCTGGTGATTTTGATTTCCTGACGCAACGTCCAGCCATTTTTGGACTCAGCATGGTGTGCAGCAGCCGGGGGATGATGACTCACCTTGAAGAAATCAGTGATTCAAATTAAAGAAGAAAGGAGGAGAAGACATTGCCTAGTAACTGGTGGTGAACACCTGAAATTCATACTTGCCATTTTTACACCCATACCAGCGTAGAAGCCTGAGGAAAAGAAGGCAGTGTGGGATGACAGGGACTCAAATTTCTGCCAACACACCAACCAACAAAGCATGACTTTCTTAAAAAAGAAAACGTGTCACCGCCCTGAAGCACCTTTACCTGCTCACAGAGGGACTGGTACCCATTCTCTTCTAATCGGTCTAGTTCAAAAGTCTCCCCAAGGAGTGGGTTGAATGGCTTGCTAGTACGGAAGACAGTAGTGGAGTAGGAAGACACGGTGAAAGCTGCAACATAACAGAGCTGTTCTAGAGAGTTTTCACATTTTGCAGCTCGATCTAACAGCTCGTGGTATTCCAGATCTTCAGTAAGGCGCTGAAGCATGGATAAGGGCTCATTAAAGTTTACCTGTCAGGAGAGAACATATATAAAAACTTTGCCCACACATCTATCGAAGACAGATTAATTTTCTGCAGGTGGAGAAACATACTGAGTTGTCATGGTGATAAGCAAATCACTAGGAAGGGAAGAGGCCTTTGCTCGGTAGAGCAGCTCTAGGATCTAACCTGGAAGCAATCCATTCTCCCTAGTCAACTGTTCATGTCAGTGAGTGATATACACCACCTTTTCATTTACTATCAACTCTTTGAAATGGGAACCATGCCTCCTCTGTTCATCCCTGCATATGCAGTTACCAGTGCCTCACACAGAAGACTATCATCAAATAGGTGATGAATGAATAAAAGAGAAAATGTATTATATTTTAGCACCAGAGAGGAAATTGGGTATTTAACATTGTTGAGGAAGGAAAGAAAGGATAGTAATTTTCAAGAACAGGCATGTCTTGGCTAGTGAAATGAAAACATTACTCAAGTTAGCTTTTAATCCTGGACCAGATGATCGCTAAGTATTGGTTCAGTTCTTCATCAGGCCAGGCTTCTGACTTCTTAGCCCTGAGGCTGGACAGTTGGTTTTTTGGACCTGGAATGGGTCCAAAAATGAGGCTAAGAGTAGGCCATGTTTCTACCTTTCCAAAACTCAGGGCACTCAACCACTGAGTATCTATGTATTTCTGTTGGGGAGAAGACAGATGTTCATTCACCGAAGCATTCACTTACTCATTCCACAAGTATTTATGGAGCTCTCATGTGTGTCAGACCTCTCTACACTGGGTGTAGAGAAGGGAACAAAAGAGACAGTCTTCCCACTCTCCCCCTTAAAAATAGCATTACTGTCTAAATTGACTGGGATTTAAGATTACAGTTATTTTTTAAAATGCTATCTACACACACACACACACACACACACACACAAAACAGTTTCAGCTTCTAGGCTAGCCCATAAAGTTTACTTAATCTGCAATACAGCTGAATAGGCCTGGATATCACTAGCTGGAGTTCCGAGTCCAGGGAACAGAGGAAGGAATAAAAATTCCTTTCTAGTGACTGGAGCTGGCGTACAGCAACATTTCTGTTAAATCAAAACACTTTTTTTCCAACAGTCCATCTCTTTTTCATGTTTGTCCAGCCTCCTACCTGCCAATCCCTGAGCCAGACTCCCCTATTTACTGTCCTCCCAATTATAAAACACCTTGTAATTTTAAAATTACATATGAAGCCCTAGCTAGTTTGGCTCAGTGGGTAGAGAGTTGGCCTATGGACTGAAAGGTCCTGGGTTTGATTCCGGGCAAGGGCACATACCCAGGTTGTGGGCTCAATTCCTAGTAGGGGGCATGTAGGAGGCAGCCCATTAATAATTCTCTCCTATCACTGATATTTCTCTCTCTCCCTCTCCCTTCCTCTCTGAAATGAAAATGTATTTTTTTGAAAATTACATAAGGAAAAAAATTTACCTGAAATGCCATCAGCCAATGATAACCATTATTTAATAACCATTAATAGTTTTATATTGTTTCTATGTATTTGTACATGTCTAGGTAGTATACTAGAACCTGCTTTTTCTCAGAGGAATATACCAAGCATTTCTCTGTGAAAATTTCCCAATGAAGACAGAGCCCTGGGACCAACATTAGAACACTGCTCTTACAGGAAGTAGAATCTATCCTCTCTCAACAAAATAGCACCACTCTCCAAAACCACTCTGTCGGCCCTGACAGAAGAGCACCGTGACAAGAAACATGCACACCAACCAAGAGGAGTGACATACTGACAGAACTTGCATCTTAGAGGCTTTTTCGTTTTCTTTCTTTCTTTCTTTCTTTCTTTCTTTCTTTCTTTCTTTCTTTCTTTCTTTCTTTCTTTCTTTCTTTCTTTCTTTCTTTCTTCTTTCTTTCTTTCTTCTTCCTTCCTTCCTTCCTTCCTTCCTTCCTTCCTTCCTTCCTTCATTCCTTCCTTCCTTTTTTACAGAGGGTGCTGGTTAACTATGCCAATGAAATTCCTCATTAGCAGAATTTCGGGTGACACTAAGTAATATTCAGAACTGGGGGTGGGTGGTGTCCTCTCCAAGTGGTTAAAAGACAACTGAAGGGTGCCTGGGACTAGAATATTGCATCCTTAAGCTATCACTGCTTTTCAACTGTTCTTAGAACCATAGTGTCCCTTTTTATATTGGTCATTTTATCCCTTGGAGGCCTAATAGAAAAACAAACAAATCTGTGAATTTTATTTTTATTTTTTAAAATATATATTTTATTGATTTTTCACAGAGAGGAAGGGAGAGAGATAGAGAGCTAGTAACATCCATGAGAGAGAAACATCAACCAGTTGCCTCCTGCACGCCCCCTACCGGGGATGTGCCCGCAACCAATGTACATGCCCTTGACCGGAATCGAACCTGGGACCTTCCAGTCCCCAGACCGACACTCTATCCACTAAGCCAAACCGGTTTCGGCCAAATCTGTGAATTTTAAGTGGAAGGAAGCAGAGAACTGGTTATATAGCTGATGGAGAGTTGGGAATCCCAAAAAGACAATCTGGAGCTGAGTAACAGCAGGGACAGAGAAAAGCAGTGGTGTTACTGTGGCCAGAGCCCAAGGCATCGGCAGAAGCTAAGACCTCTGTAAGTATCTTGGAGTTTTTCCCTTTCTCCCTACTCCAAACTCCTCCTGGTGCCTGGCACTGGTGGAGCTTCCGTGCCACAGACACGGAAGCCTGAGCAACATCCTAAAGGGATCAGCTTTTCTGTGACACAGCACAGGGCAGGGCAGGGCAGGGCAGGGCAAGGACTAGACCTGAAGGCAAACAGGTATAGGACTGCACATTCCTAGTGCCAAAGTCAACGAGGAACTAATGGTAAAGGAGGACGGGAGGTCACCTGCACTCGGAAGTGGTTTCTAAGCACGGTCTGTGTTTCCAAGGCTGTGGAACCTGCCTTTTCAGCGCACCTTCCCAAGGCGCTTCCTTCAAGGCACCAGCCCCCAGGGAACCAGTTATTTTGTTTCTTCAGGGTGCTTACTCAAGGACTTTTCTGGAGGTCCATATATATATATATATATATATATATATATATATATATATTTTTTTTTTTTTTTTAATAGAGAGGAAGGGAGAGGGAGAGTTAGAAAAGTCAATAAGAGAGAAACATCAATCAGCTGCCTCCTGCACACCCCCTATTGGGGTTGTGCCCACAACCAAGGTACATGCCCTTGACTAGAATCGAACCTGGGACCCTTGAGTCCACAGGCCGATGCTCTATCCACTGAGGGAAACCGGTTAGGGCAAGTCCACATTTTTCCTAACAGAAATTCTACACACATATAAATTTGTTTTCCAAGACCCAGTTAACTATCCACTTCAACATTTGCTAAACGGTGTATGTGCTAGGTACTGGAGAAGCATCAAGGTTACAAAGACAATAAGACACAGTCTCTGCCCATGAGGAACGCAGTCCATGGTCACTGGTCCATAAGCCCCACGAGGGGAGGAGAATGCTTTCTGTATTTCTGCATGATATGTGCCTGGATATGGGTAGAACCTGCAGCCACTCTCCGCTACAAGTGATGTCACAAAAATAAATAGTCTTCACTGCCAGCCTCTTCCCCAACTAGCTGTGGCCACATAACTAAGTTCTGGCCAAAGAGATTGAAGTGCAAGTGTTTATGCAATTTTCAGGAGGAGGGCCTTCTTTTCTTCCCTTCCTGCTGGCTGGAATGAGATCCTGAAGGCCCACACTAGAGCAGTCACTTAGGACCTAGAAACAGAGGCCATAAGTGGCAGAGCAAGAGTACTGAAAGAGCCTGGTCTGGACACTGCAGAGCACAGTACCAGCCCTGAGCCACCCACTTCTGGACTTTCACATGACAATGAATTAAGCTAATATTTGTTTAAGGCAGGGTTGGCCAGGCTCTTTCTGTAAAAGGTGAAATAATAAATATTTAGGCTTTGAGAGCCATATGGCCTCTGTCACAATCATTCAACTCTGTTCTTGTAGGGCAAAAGCAGCCACAAGAAGCAATCGAATGAGTTCCTATAAAACTTTATGAACATTAACATCTAAATTAATTACGTTATAAAAAATTATCCTTTTGATTTTTTCAATCATTTAAAAACATAAAAACTGAAATTTATATAATCTTATATGTCATTCTAATAAATTTAAACAAGCAAGTGATATCCACTGCCCAGACATAAATGATGGAACCTAAAGCACAGGAGAGGTAACATCTCATCCTAAACAGATATATAGATGAAGCTGTGCTAAATCCTGAAGAAAGGGGTATTTAGGAAAAAAAAAGTGGCAAAGGTGGGTGGGAAGCTGCTGAAATTTCAAGCAGAAAGAGCAGTGTGTGCAAATGCCCCACGGGAAAAGACAAGATGTCTCTGAGTACCTGAAGGGAATGCCCAATGACCAGAATACCTGATGTGTGGGCACAGCCCGTCCTCAGGGCAGGGAGGAAGTAGCAAGCCCACCAAGGAATCTGGTCTACTCTCAAAGCCATAGAGATTTAGTGAAGGATTTTCAGCTAAAAAGTGTCATGACCAAATAGTCAACAAAAAGATCACGTTGACAACAGTGTGGACAGACTGGAACAGGCTGTGACTGGAGGCAGGGAGATCAGCCCAAACACCATGGCAATGGTCCTCATCTGCTTGGTTGAACTGCTTTTGTTTCTATGCTCCCCAAACATTCGTATTCACAGTACTTGAAACAACACTATCATAGAAAATATCTTCATGTTTGTCTCCCTTAAGCCACGTACATTTTGAAAATAGAGACTATTATCTTTGCATGGCTAGCACAGGAATCTGCTCTTAAAGAAACTACTGACCCAATGTATCTGATTCTAGGTGATCTGGAACACACCAGATCCACAGCCCACACTGAAGCAGATCACAATAAGGGACAAAGGGCAATAACAAAGACCATGCACAGACGGCCACAGCTATGGGAGGGGCCGTCACAGCAGCTCCCTTCCCCTGAAGCCTGGGATGAGAGCCTCACCGGCATGGGGATCTTAGAGAGTTCTTTTCCAATGCAGTTCTTCATGATGCTCCACAGATTGAGGCTATAGTTGGGTTTGTATGGTATTTTAGTTCTCTTTTCCTTCTTGGTCTCTTCCAGCTGATGCTTGTACTAAGAACAAAACAAAGCCATTCAATCTCCCACAAAGAACAGAAACCCAGTATTATAACCTTCCCTTCCCCCATGCTAAAAAGTATTTCTAAAAAAAACACACAACAATCAGTACTTTTTCTGTTTCTCTTGGTGCTTTACAAGCAAATCCTTGAGAATCACACCTCAAGTCCCTCACTTCAGATAACTCCCAAATAAGAGTTACCTGTTCATCAAGGCTGATGTCACTGCTGGCTCCACTGATGTTGCTGCCAGTACGTCTACACGGATGGGAAATGTATGAGAATTAGAACAAAGACCAGAACTAGAGTTTGGTCCTCGTCATGTCTTTACAAAGCAGAATGCTAAGCATGCTGCACAAACTTATTAATGGGTGATCGAATGACACGTAGAATAAAATATGTATGAATTTAAACATCTCTGGACAACCTGGTCAGGTAAAAAAGCTAACAGTTTTCCACTTACTCAAAGAAAGGGTCCTAGATCTCAGTATGATACTCCCCTTGAAGCATTTCTAACCTGTGGATGGTCAGATACGTTCATTCTTGTCAGGATCAAAGATAAACTTACTTGTGGCCCAAATTTTCAGGCATGGTGATGATCTCAGGAGCATCAAAAAATTCATTCTCATCATCCTCATCACTCATGTCTCCTTTGCCAGAGCAGCACTGATCTGTAAGGAGAAAAGTCTTGTTTAATTACTTTGGTCAAAACTTGGTGCAGCAGGATTTCAAATACAGGTCACAACCAAAGCAATAAATGGTAGAAAGCAGTGGAAAAGACAGAAGAAATCCATGGCACCAATTGCATTTCACATGAGTCACTGATTCCGGAGAATTTGGAGTTCTTCTACCAATTTCAGAAAATACCCTGGCTCCGCTCAGAACAAGCCACCCAGAGGCCCAGAGTCTTACCTTTTCCTGGACCCGCACTGCCAGAAGGGTGTGCCGGCAGCACCGTGGCTCCTCGGAAAGCCCTCTCCAGGTGGTTATGTTGCTTTGCCAGCTGCTCCAAGGTCTCCTCCAGCCGGATCCGCTGGTCTCGCTCATACTGTAGTGATTTCTGCCATTTTTTACTATGGGTCTGGGCTAACATAAGAAAATCTCTGCAAGCCTGTAGGGGAAAAGAGTTAATAAGTATCACTCAACTGAGATACCCCTCGGGCCCTGTGAACCCATTCTGGGAACTTCACAGGAAGATTACAAGAGACTTTCCCTGTTATTCCCCAGTAGCAGGGACAGCCAGCTCCATGAGGCAATGAAGGTCGACTCCAGAAAACAAAATGAGCATGGTTGTCACGGTTCTTTCATATTTTCCTGGTCATGAGGACCAACCAAATGCCAAGGGAGCAGTAAACCTAGACAAAGTATTTGTGGCAACATCACAGAGGGCAACTATGTGAACTACATCAAAAAAAAAGTTTATCGACTGAAAGAGAAGGAAAAGCATAGGACTGTTTTTAATAAATTCTTCATTACACCCAAGTCACCTAAAGCTGAAGAATTCAGACAATGAGAGTAGAGAATCTGCACTGAATTGACCAAATATGGGGAAACTGACTCTGTTTTTATTTTGATCACTAAGAGAAACAACTGACCATAAAATTAGACGCCTACCCGAGGAATCAAAGGAAGGCTCTAGAGATAAAACACAAATCTGATCAGATCATTGGCTCCCTGCTGGTACTGGGACCAAATCGAAACCACTGGTTATGAATGTAAAGGACCCTTTATAGTAGGGCTACCACCTGCATTTTATATCCTCTTCGCCAGACTCCTGCATCCTCCGTGGAATCACTATTTCCTGGAGCAACATATTTCTTTCAGGCCTGCCTACCTATCATAGCATATGCTATTCGCTGTGCTTAGAATGCCTTCTCCTACCCCCTTTCTCTACCTGACCAAGACCCCTTCATTGTTTCAGATTTACGACCAACGTTTTTCTTCTGTGACCCTCCCTCACCCCTAGTCACTTAAGCAGCCAGTATCTTCAGTACATTTCCACAGCACTTGGCATACACCTCTATTCTTCACTAGCCACAGCAGCCGCATGACTGATGTGCAATGTCTCCAGATGGATCATACACAACTTGAAGACATAATTTACGGTTAATACATATACTTATCTTCAGCTCCTTAGTAGCTTTGTACATAGTAGGAGTCTAGTTTGCTTAGTAAATAAATAAAGCAATGTATTCTTAAAACGAAATGCCCTGTTCTAGAAAAACTATAAGGTAAATAAAATTTCTCCACCCATGGTTTTGATTATTGCCTCTAGGCTCAATGACTGTGAAATCAGTAATTTCAGCTCTGTGCTCATGGAGCTTTCAGACAAGAATATCCAGTTGCCTATTCAGTGGCTCAAAGTAATCTCAAAATCTGTGGGTCCCAAAGCGAACTCACTATGTTACCTTTATGACTCTGCTTCTCCCTTGGTGTGTCCCAAGGCACAATAGTTCCAGGGCCCTTCCACGTACCCAAGCCAGAAAACCAAAATGTATACGTACTTGATTTTGAATTTTTAGTCCCTCCCATATCCAATTATCTAGTCCTATCGATTCTTCTTTAATGTTTCTAGAATTTCACACTTCTTTCCGTCCTCCATACTCAGAGGCAGTACATACACTAGAGTTGGGTGGTTGGGACTCTAATCACAGCTCCATCTCACTATCTAGCTATGGAATTCTGGGCAAGTAATTTAACCTCTCTGTGCTTCATCTTCCTCATCTGTAAATAGAGAGTAACAACAGTAACTACCTTAATTATTTGTATGCCTTAAGCATCTAGACGCAAGCAGCAGACCTTTTTTAATTAAATTCAAAATATCATGGCAGTTCAGTGGTTAAAGAGTTATAGCTTTATATATAAAGCATTTAGAATCTTATGGATCACAGTAAGCATTCAATAAGGTGTTAGCTATTATACTAAGCCTGCACTAAAATTGATCTTACTCTCTTTTAATGCACTACTACCAAAACCATTTAGTATAATCTGCACCCTATCTCTTCTCCACACTCAATTCCTTTCCAGCCTCATCTCTAGCTGCAACTTGCTCCACTAACAGTCAATTACCAGCAGTTCCCAGACTTTGAGAGAGAAGGAGGGATCTGCTTATGCCACATCTCTACCTGAATCAACTGTTCTCTTTCACTTCCCTTTAAAGATATTGATCACAACTAAAATCTAGTGAGACACAATTATATCAGACATTTGCTGAACACTTTATATCAACATATATATATGACCCTAATATGCAATTAGACCGAACAGCAGAACCACTGAACAACCAGTCGCTATGATGTGCGCTGACCACCAGGGAATGCACACAGAACATGGAAGGCATCATCAGCAGGTAACAGAGTGCAGAACATGGCAGGGTTTGGCTGTGGGGGGATGGTGCAAGTGAGCAGGGGCACCAGACCAAGGGGGGGCACTGGTTGCTGTCACTGGGGTGAGCCTTTGGTAGTTACTAAAAATTCTTTGCTCCCATGCTCCCGACGGGCGCTCGCACCTGCTGCCAACACCTGCAACTGCTGCAGGCAGATGGCCCAGTACCACAGCAGGAGGGACCCAAAGGATGGGTCAAGACCCACCCATGCCCACTGCAGCCTTGCAGCCCACAGTTCCTTTCAAGGTGCACTAATTTGAGCACTGGGCCCCTAGTTATCTGATAAAGGCCTTTCAACAACCTTGTGAGCAGTTTCCTAGTACAGTCATCAGTTATAAAAAAGGAATTGAGGTTACAGAGGAAGTAGGTTACCCAGGCTATATAGTTAACCAAGGAAGCTGGATTTAATTGCCTTTTTTCTTTTTCTTTTTTTAAAATATATTTTATTGACTTTAGAGAGGGAGGGAGAGGGAGAGAGAGAAACATCAGTGATGAGAGAGAATCACTAATAGGATGCCTCCTGCATGTCCCCTACTGGAGAAAGAGCCCACAACCTGGGCATGTGCCCCAACCAGGGATCAAACCATGACCTCCTGATTCATAGGTCACTGCTCATGTTGGCCAGGCTAATTGCCTTTTTTCACAGGCAGGCACTCTTTGGTCTTCCAGAATTCAGCTGAACTTTAAATTCTATGTGCTATATCAGCAGCCTGTGCTCACTTCTGTCATTCCTTGGCATAGTCCTACTGATCTGGTAACTTCTCTGTCCCCTCATCAGAAAGTAATATTCCTTAGGACAGGTACCACACCCACATCTGTGTTTTATTTTTTTATTGTCTAAAGTTTTACATATTCCCACATCTGTTTTATCCTTAGCATAGTGCCTAGAAGACAGACGATACAAAATACATGTCCACTGAATTAGCAAATGGATATACTAACAGTGTCAAACTTACTCCCCTGCTTAGATTCACTTTGGTAGGAAAAAAAAAAAAAGCTACAGTCTACAAAATTGAGTAAAATGTATTCTTCCTTTGGAACAAAAGACCTTTAGGGATGTAATGTGCTAGGACTATAATTTCCAACAATCACATTACACTATAGGCCTTGCCACCATCACCTAAAAAGTATAAAGGAAATAAGATGGGGGGGCGGGGGGGGGGAGACGGGGGACACATTTTAAGCAATAACCTGCTATGAGAGGGGTACAGGCAGCGCAGTAGGAGAGAACAGAATAAGACACAACTTCCCTCTGACTCCCAAGCAATCACAACTTAGGGAAGAACTGCCCTGCGGAACAAAGATGAGCATGGTTTCAAGAGTGATGTCCAAGCTAAATTTTCAGTTTTATGAGAAATTATCAATCAAGAGATGTTTTATTTAGCAAATTTTTCACATCTAGAGTAGAAAAAAATTATTATGGAGTAGGATGTTCACCTGATAAGGATAAGAGGTGACATTCACTACCAGGAGACTTGAGTCCTGAGCTGTTCTATTACTGATTCACTATTAATTGGCCTGGAGGACTTATGAGGACCAAAAGAGCAGGCAGTCATTAAGAAATGCCACAGTCTTCATGTACATTGGTTGCGGGCACATCCCCAGTGGGGGGTGGGCAAGAGGCAGCTTGTCGATGTTTCTCTCTCATCGACGTTTCTAACTCTCTATCCCTCTCAATTCCTCTCTGTGTAAAATCAATAAAAAATATATATATAAAAAAAAAAAAGAAAAAAAAGAAAGAAATGCCACAGTCTGGAGAATGAGCACACAACTATGCATGAGAAACACAGCATTAGTGCTGATGAGCAGAGTCCTGGAGACAACTGACCTTCCTGCAGTGGACAAAACAACTGTCCTTTCTACCTTCTGTGAGTCAGAGCTCTGAAGATGAGAAAAATTAAACTTCCCCTTTGTCACAGGGAAGACCTTTGATCTCTAGGAGCCACAATAGTTCTAATAAGTCTTATTATCACTCCCCCAACAAGGGAAAATCTGGCCCTAGTGAAGTAATTCCATCCTATTTAATAAGGTAAGAAAAAACAAAACAAACAAACAAAAAAAAACAAGCCTGCATAAGCCTTTTCTCACAAAGTCCCCTTCTCACTTACATTATGAAATGTCTGTTAGGGTTTGTTTTCAAGTTGAAACTGCTAGAACAACCTGCCAGGTGAGAATCAGTTACCAGTAGAGGAAAAACAGCACTGTTTAAACCAAGTATTCATTTCATACCGATTCCCCAGGATCTGAAATAATATCACTAATTCCCATGAGGCTTTGGCTTTATCTAGAGCCTTGCAGCCAAGCAGCAGAAGTACCCCAAACCAGCAACAGCCACCAAGACAGAAGTCATGAGAAAGCAGAGCGGTAGGCCCTTCTTTTTAAACCAAAGTGCCCAAAGCTGAGTGTTATTGTATTACCAACTAAAATCAAGGAGTAAAGATGGAATAACCAGAATTATAAAACTCTCACTTGATCAACTCCCATTTACCACATCGTGGGTCAGAATACATTAGCAACATAGGGATCAGACTCCAACTTAAAGCTCAAAGAACTTGATAGTGGAAGGGCCCATGAGATGTTTTAGTTGCAACAGATAGAACTAGCTCAAAATAAATAAAACCACAATCCAGAGATTAAAGGATGCAATTAACATCACCATCAGATGTCCTGCTGGTGCCAGAAGCAGGGATGGAACTATGGACTCCTAGCTAACTCCCAGGCTGGAGCAGTGTCCTCCTGACCATTTGAGCAGAGCAGGAAAGTCATCCCATCTGTGCACCCTGTTCTATTTCATACAACAAACAATTTAACTTAAATCCCTGAGCAGCAAAGCAGGACCTAATGTCCTGTGCTTTATCAATTACAATTTCCTGGCATTTTGGAAGAATTACATTTTGAAAGAGGGAAAGAATAAAAAAGCTACACAGGATACCATCTGTACTTACATTGATCATGGCATTGGATGTGATCCTGAAGAGTGTGGCCCGTTCGTTGACCTGCTTGATCTTTTCGTTGCTCTCAGCAGGCAGCCTCAGGGACTCCAGCTCACTGAGGGAGCGCTGCAGCGCGGTGCCATGCTTGGCTATCAGGTCATTGCATGTGCTCAGGTCCTCAACTTTGCTGGACAATGTCCGAAGGGTATTCTGCAGCTCTGTCTTGTCAGTTTGTGAGACAGACTCTTCATCTCCTGACTCATCTGCAGAAGCAAAAGGTAAACTTACATGATTCCAGGCCCAGGAGTGAGAGCCTGAACACTGCCAACTCTGCCCACAACCAAAACGGACACTCCTCCCATTGTGGGTTCTGACCACTCGGCAGCACCAGACTTCTCTACAGTGTGTTCCACAGCCCACTTGCATCACAAACACCTGGAGTTCTTACAGCTGTACTCCACTGGCTCCACCCCCAAGGACTCTGATTTGGCTAGTGGGAGGTAAGGTCCAGAAACTTGCACTTCGAATAAGCGCCCCAGGTAATTCTGATGCACACTGAAGTCTCAAAACCTAGAGGTCAGGATGGAAAAGCTAACTGGCTCCTGGAGTTAGGTATGAATTACTGAGCCTTTATACTTTAACACGAGGGTCCCAATCCAGCCCCAGCTAATTATTACTGCAAATCCACTATCACTTGTTAGGTGTTCAGTAGGCCCTGTATGACATGGGTTAAGAATCACAGTCTAGCTCCTTATAAACAAAAGATTCAACAATTTATTTGTCTTTCCTGAAGAGGAGAAGATTAAAAAATTATCTTTTCTGACATTATAGCCACATTGCACTGAAATCAACGCAAGGTCTTTTGTTCAATGACTCTCCAATAATAAGTCAAGCAGACAGCTATGTTGTACCTCTTGCTACCAGCTCTGTACTTAACACTTTTGTAACTGCAAAGTGTTTCTCCAGCAGTAGCACCTCTTTTGGGCAGGGGGCCAAATATCAGCATTAAAATCAAAACGAGCTGGGACCGGTTTGGCTCAGTGGATAGAGCATCGGTCTGCGGACTGAAGGGTCCCAGGTTCGATTCCGGTCAAGGGCATGTGCCTTGGTTGCAGGCACATCCCCAGTGGGGGGTGTGCAGGAGGCAGCTGGTCGATGTTTCTCTCTCATCGATGTTTCTAACTCTCTGTCCCTCTCAATTCTTCTCTGTGTAAAGTCAATAAAATATATTTTAAAAAAAAATTTTTTTTAAAATAAAAAATAAAAATAAAATCAAAACGAAAGAAGTGAGAAAAGACCTGACGCAACTGCTAGGCAGAGAGGCAGGGCCAGATGAAAACATAGCCTGTTACCAGAATGTTTACAAAGCAGTGAACTTTCCTTTCACTGCCTCGTAGATAATAAATATGGTATGGGAAATGATAGGGGATAAGAAAAACAACAGATGAACACAAGTCAGCAGATGACCATCTTGGTCAGCTCCAAGTGACAGGCTCAGTATGCTTAAACTGCCAACATCTATGGGGGAAATCCTACCATTTTCCTTGAAGAAAAAATACGAACACAATCAGATTGCTCTTTTTCAGTGAAACTAAGGTAGCAAAATGAAGATGTTTCATAGAAAGTATCACATAAAATGATTTTTGGCAGTCTATGAAGCTTGTTTCAACTCCACTAACAAATAGTTAAATAGTTAACTAAGGAGATGTCAGGAGAAAATAAAAAGTAAGGTAAATACAAATTGTGAGTTGTAATAATCCTAAGACTGATCTAGCAATAAAATAATCATTTCTCATAATTGTAAGGTAGTCAATTGGCATTAAAAGCAAAAGAATAACTGTTTATGCCTGTAGGTCATAAACCTCAACCTCAGCAATACTGACATTTTGGCCAGATAACTAACTCTTTGTTGTGGGTGGCTGTCCTCTGCATTGCAGGGGCTTTAGCGGCCTTCCTGGCCTCTACTCACAACAGGCCAATAGCCACCACACCTCTCATCTGGACGAGAAAATGGCTCCAGGCATTGCCGAGTGACCCCTGTAAGGCAGAACTGGCCTCACTTGAAAACCATCTCTCCAGGAGAAACACTGCATGATGTACCTGAGACATGTGTGTTAGTTCAAGGTGATAGTTGATAATTAAATGACAATGAGGGATAAAATAAAGTTTGTGCGTAAGACAGACAAATGAACAGTTTCCCTGACACAGTGTCCTTTGCTCCCCACCTGATTCTGCCAGCATCTTCACAGCCTTGGCCTTGGCCAGTTCCAGGGCTGTCACCCAGCGCTGCCGCTCCACTTCCGAGCTGGCCTTCAGATGGTAGGTCTGAGCACCTCCATTGGAGATGATGAAGTTGCAGGAGTCCTCCACAGTGATGTTGGCTGTGGCCAGGTTGATGGTACCACGGCAGGTATGTCTCATTTCTGCCTTTGACCTGCAATAACGAGGCGAAGACATGCTAAGTAAAAAGCTGTGGGTGGTTTGTCCTTGATCAATTCTATTTCTTCTCATAACTTTTGAAAATAGTCCCAAAAGGAGCAAATTCTAATATTTCCCTTAAATGGATCCCTGAAATTCAAGAAACAGTCAGTAGGGATTTCCTTTCAGAGCCCAAGTATTGTTTCTGAGTCAGATTGTATTGCTCTGCAGTTCCTCTCACCGTTAGCTGGTTTAAAAAGAGGCTTCACTGTAATTCAAGGACAAACTATAAATTCAGCAATTTTAACTATATGATTCAGTGAGTTTTGACAATGTACATAACTGTGTAAGCACCTCCACAACCAAAATGTAAAATATTTCCATCTCCCCAAGAAGTTCCCTCATGCCCTTTTCCAAGTAGGAATTACTTTTTATTTAGAAAGTTGTAATTATAATTCATGCATTTTACATGCACTGAATAATCCCCCCTCCCCTCAAACTGTAGCTCAGCCTAAATGAGACCTGTCACACTGCTTAGAAATGTACTGCAGAAGTGTAAGGCACACGTACATGATTAGAGTATTAAATATTGACTCCAGCTCAAATGATATAAAGTAGGAATAAATAGTTTTCTGTGGAAGAAAAGACAAAATAATCATAAAAGAATCACCAGGTGGTCTAATCTTCCTCTGCTAAGTTCTTTCCTAAGGCCCACTGACCTCTACTGGTGGAAACTCCTAAGCCACCCTATTAATAGCTAGGAAAGATTCAGCAAATCTGCTCTCAAAGAGAGCTGGGTGTAAAATTTTTCCCCATCTCTACTGACAGTTCTATTCATAGACTAACTTTTGAACTTTACAGCACTGCTTGCTGACGACAAGCTACAAGAGACTTCACATGAGCTATCAAGCTGCTACACAACTGGGTGTACAGCGTGGACTGTGCCAATTTCCCCATCACCTGCTGGCTATGCCCAGGGACCTGCCTGTTGAGACCGCGGTTTTCCCTGACCAACTTGGAGCATAAAGAGGTCAAAGTCCTTTGCCAACTGCCACAGTGCAATGCGGAGCCATTTCCCTTTCACCGGAGCCAAGCGGCCACACACACCTGGCACATCCAGAATCTCTTGCAAGCCAAAAACGACACACACCCATCCCCAGAAACTGATTACTAGGTGTGTTTGAGAAAGTTGTTTCCCTGTCCTTAGGAATATAGATTCCCTATTGTTCAGTGTGTCACATGAAACTGGTTTTTCATCCTCAAATGCACAAATGCTGTATGGGATGGGCCGGGGGGGGGGGGGGGGGTCCTCAACGGACTGGGCCACTTTACATCCTCTGCACCTGCCACACTGTAACATGAATCCCTGTTTTTTCTATTTTTCCCTCCCCTCCCCCTCCCCCAAGCTTCAGTTACATTATGAATAATGCAGGCCAAATTACAGACCCACAGCTGACAGTCCGCTCACCCTTGCTTTCTACTTGTAAGGTGCTACTTGGACCTTCTACCTCATTCCTCACAATGTGTTGGTACTTTTCACAAGTCACTTCCTAGAATCTCTGCCTGTTCATCTTCATGAACTAAAGAAATTTCTCGTCCTAGCAGGTTTGGCTCAGTGGATAGAGCATCGGCCTGCCGACTGAAAGGTTCCGGGTCTGATTCTGGTCAAGGGCACATGCCCAGGTTGCAGGCTCGATCCCCAGTGGGGGGCGTGCAGGAGGCAGCCAATCAATGACTCTCATCATTAATGCTTTTGTTTCTCTCTCCCTTACCTTCCTCTCTGAAATCAATTATATATATATACATACAAAGTTTCTCGAATTATATAAAGTCTGTAGCAGTTTCAAAAATACAAAGAAATCTTGGGAGTAAGGTAGCCTTTACCTCAGGGCTCTTGAGTTTGGAAAAATAGACCAATGGTCATACATGATTATCAAAGCTGAAAAAAAAATTACTTGCAGGGTACTACAGGTACTACAATATTAGGTGATATTTTCTAGCTAGAAAGTTCTTCCCTGAAAAGGCCAGTTGAAACAGTAACTCCATCTGTAGAAGCTAGCCAGGAAAACTAATACCATGGGCCTGTCATGATGTGTCTGGGAGAGCTGAGACTCTACATTTGGTTTTAAATAACTGGCCATCTGTGTAACTAAGTATGTAAGGAAGGACAGGATACATAAAAAGAGGCAAGTAGTGTTACCAAAGCCTCTTAGGACAGTTCATCAGAGGACAGGTCTAGGAAGAACAGGATCGCAGTTAAAAACAGTCTCTCTTAAAAGGCACATATGGGAAATGACAGGTTTTGGAGGCAAGAAAAGTAAGAGGAATGACAACTTAGCCAAACAACTCTAGGAAGATGGGGACTGGAAGGACTCTATTAGGTAGAATAGACTACCAACATAGTTGGCCGGAAGTATTTCAATGTGATTTTGAGGGTAATGCATAGACTTGATAACTCTGGATCCTGTTGCTTGGTTGATTTGTGGGTGGGACTATCTTACTGGCAAGGACAGGCCCATGGCATAGTTCCCAACATGTGGTTTAGTATGTTTTGGAACGAGTTTTATCTTTGCTCTGACAGGTACCACTAGCTCTTGTAAGAGAGAAGTTAAAAGTGGTTACAAGTAAATGAAGAGAACACACTGAGTTATTAATGTTCAAATCAAGATCAATATTGATCAAAACTGGTTCTGATCAAAGAATCAACTGGCTGGGAAAGTGGATCTGGTAAGAACTTGGATGAGGAAAAATGATCATACACTAAGACCCTCGGCTGGTACACAACTTTTGAAAATGGGGAATCAGTGTTAACAGTGACTTACAAGCCAAATTAGGATTTGAACCAATTGAACATTAAAATGATGGTCAGTTTACTTTTTTAAATATGTTTTCATCCATTTTAGAGAGAAATGAAAGGAGAGAGAGAGAGAGAGAGAGAGAGAGAGAGAGAGAGAGAGAGAGAGAGAGAGAGAGATATTGATTGACTAGTTGCCTCCTGCACAGTCCCACCCCAACCAGGGATGGAGCCCACAACCTGGGTATGTGCCCTGACCGGAAATCCAACCAGTGACCCCTCAGTGCATGGGACAACATTCAACCAACTGAGCCACACTGGCCAGGGCTAATAATCAGCTTAATAGATAAACATGAATTTGAGTAGGGGAAAAGCTTTGGAGCAAACCAAATTTTTTATTTTTTACCTAACCTTAAAGTCCTAGATACGTAATTAGAAGAGGTTAAAATTAAAATTAATGCTGAATATAATAATGCAAATAATATAAACAACTGGTTACAATTAATGTCGCTTAAGCAGTGAGGAGGCACTAAGGCATTTTCCAGTTTCTAACTCCAACTAACCCTCCAACTCCCACATTCGATTTCCCCTAAAAATTCTCTAAGGGCCAATACAATAGAGTTAATGGAAGAGATTCACCCTAACTCTCCTGGTGGCAGAGTGTCTACTGGCGGAGGAAAAGAAACAGAGTGAGCTGCTCTTAACAGCAGCGTTCTGTGTCCCAAATAAGATGGTATTCATAAAAGTATTTCAGTTAGAAATGCCATTACACTAAGCAGAGTCTCCCTTAAAGGAGACTTCTATACATTTTGAATAAAGTAAACATAGTAACCATGAGCTATAAACTTAGTTTCTATTGATACTTAATTATCTCTGTATCTGATTCATGTAATACTAACCTGGGTTTTGGGTTACTGTTGGTGTGAACAGAACTAGTTTCAAATCCTGACTCCTCAAGACTTTGGGAAGGTTGCTCAAGCTACACAAGTCTGTTTCCTCATCAGGAAGATGGAAATATCTCCTAATTCCCAGGTTGTTGGGAGCCAATGAAATACTGTACATAAAACGCCTATCCAAACTGTCTAGCCCTCAGAAAATGTTTATGCCCTGTCCCCAAATCCGGTATCTTAACCCCTCTATCTATAGTAACATGAGTAGCCAAAAACATGCTAGGTTATGGCAAGACTGTGACCATAAATATATACAATGTACATTGTTGAACATAAGTAACCATACCAAAGACATTCTTTAAATAAATAAATAAATAAATAAATAAATAAATAAATAAATAAATAAATGAGCTGAAACCAAACTAGCCAGAGACCCCAGAAATATTACTGGATGGAAAACTTAATCATTCTCACGGGAGGAGGTGGGGCAAGCAAAAATAAAAGGAGTACTGGAGTGCACTTCATTCTGCGCGGTCTGTCTAGAAGGAGAAAACAAAGCCTTGGAGAGATAAGGAAGACAGGGATGGAGGCCACCCTGTCTGTCCTTGTGCCTGAATGTGGAGAGAGCAACGGCGGGTACATCAAGGGCTGCTAATAACCTTGAAATCTGGAGACTGGGCATAGACAGCTAAAGCTAAACCCTGGGACTTTTACGCTAAGTTCCTTGTGAGCGGTGCCCCTTGGCTCCTACAACAGCATCTTCGTGCAGAATTAATCATTGCACCCACGTGCTGGTGGAAACATAATGGAAAGACCAGGGGCCGGGGGGGGGGGGGGGGTGTAATGGCACGGAGGCTGGGCGATCCAGGTAGAGGGGTAAGCTGTGGGGCATGCACTCTCCGTGACGGTGGGCTCAGGTCGCTGACTGTCAATGCGCGCAGGTGACTGAAAGGGGCCTGGGGCGACCTTGGCCGCGGGGCCAGCGGGAGAGGGCGGCGGCGAGGGAAGGTGGGCTGCAGCAGGGGGACAGCGCCCCGGAAGCAGTTACCTGTAGTAGCTCAGCAGCCCGTTGCTCAGCACGAACCAACGCCGCTGGTAGCCTTTGATATAATTGGTCCATTTGAAGAGCCAGCCTTCTCGAGCCGAGCCCGAACTCCCAGCGCCGGAGCTAACCGAGCCCCCCGAGCCCCCGGCCGGAGGTACTGGGGCTGGGCCTGCCGCCGCCACTGCCCCGGCGGCCCCGGGGCCCGGGCCGCTCGCAGACGACGTGGCGACAGTGCCCGGCGCGGCCCCAGAGCCTGGCGCCGAGTCTCCGCGGCCGCCTCCGCTTCCCACCACCGGGGGACCGGTGCCGCCGCCGCCCGGAGCTGCAATGGCTGCCGGGCCCGGGCCCACCACTCCTCTCAGCTCCGTCGCCGCCATGAGCTGCCACCGCCCCGAGACACACAACCGGAACCGCCTCCGAGAGCCGCCGTCGCCGCCGGAGCGCCGCACACCTAGCGCATCAGCCGCCGCCGCGTAGCGTCACCGCCCCGCCAGGCCGGCCGGGGAGGAGGGACCGGCTGCCGGGAAGGAGGGAGTCAATTGGTGCCTACTAGTGTCACTTGCGGAAGATTCCCTAGGACATTGGCATTTTCCTGGGGCCTGTCATTCCCTACAACCCACCGAGAGTCCCGGATGGGACTGTCCGCCAGCGACGTCATTGATTGGTTCCTGTGAAGGCCAATCAGACTTACGTAAAGCTCATTGGTGCTTTCCCGAAGTCTCCAGCATTTAAGGAGGACTCGAGAATTCAGAGCGCCCGGCCAACTTGATCGTGGATTGGCTAGTGTCCCCGCCACTCATTTCATTTTATGTTCCCGTCACTGCCACGTCACCCCCTCCCATCATTCTTCCAAGCGTCCCTCTTCCGCCCTTATGGATTGGTGGTTGATATCAGCTGCTCAACCTCTTCTACCATTGACTGCACCAGTTGAGGTAAAGGGGCGGTGTCTCGTCGCAGCCTTATTTTCATTTCTTATTGGCTGTTACAAACGTCACTCACCTTCTGGCCAATGAAAGAAACGTATTGTAAGAGGGGCAAGCCTGGGCAGTCAGTAAAATCTGGGATGAACTCCCGGGGGGCGTGTCCGCCTGCTTCTTGCTTTTAGAGGAATTGGTGGGAGTAAAAGCAAATCAGTCTCACTAAAGCGCTAAGTACTACGTTAGAGTCCCTCTTGCTGAGTTAAGACCTCCGTAGTTTTTTGCTAGGAAGAATGATTCTGAGCAGTCAGGCTCTGCCTGAATCACTGGACCAGTCAGTCTCCCCCTTTAAAGCCCTCTTCCAGCAGCTGGCTCGGATCTGGAGGCCTGGATTTCCGGGGAGCCCAGAAATAGCTTTCCTCCTGGATCCACGATCCTCCTAATGACTTCCCCTGGTTTTCTTATTGCACCATATCCTTTATCTCTTGCTTCTAATCCTTTTTCATATATATATATATATATATATATATATATATATATATATATATATATATATATGAAAATATATATATATATATGAAAAAGGATTAGAAGCAAGATATATATATAGCTTCACAGATATATATATATGTGAAAAAGGATTAGATATATATATGAAATTTCTAAGAGGAAGGGAGGCAGAAACATCTATGATGAGAATCACTGATTGGCTGCCTCCTGCACGCCCCCCACCGGACCACACAACCAGGGCATGTGCCCTGACCAGGGATGGAACCTTGACCTCCTGGTTCATAGATGCTCAACCGCTGATCCATGCGGCTGGGCTCTCTTGCTTCTAATTCTGTCCCATGAATTGCCCACGTAAATGAGAAGAAAATAGACTCGCAAGGACCTGACTATAAAAGTACTTCACAGTGGTATCCCTTCCAGACTTTGTTGATTTTAGCAAAAGCGCATTCGTGTGTGCATAACTTCGCACCAATTTTTAAAAATAAATTTACTTTGTTCATACATTTATTAAAGTAACATATTTAGTACTTCATTTAACATTTAGATGTTGTAAGCTACTGTTAAAATGGAGCTTTGGGGAACCTGTTATATTTTGCTAGTTTAGATAGGCAATAGAAATGGCTGTTAGACACTGTAAAACAAATTGCTTTTCCTTCCTTGGTAACATGCTTCCCGGTAGCAAGAAAGTAAAGACAAATGTTTTCCATAAGGAGAGACTTATTGAAATCAGGAGAGAGAATACACTATGAAAATCTGCAGGTAGAAGTAGGCTCTTTGGGATTAAAAAAAGTTTTTAACTGAACTAAAATGAACCCATTTATGCTTCAGTCCTGCCTTTGCTACTCACTGGCTCTAGGACTTAGGAAAGGCATTTATTTAAGCACTCCAAGACTCAATTTTCATTTCTGTTAAATAGAAATAAAACCCACAGGGATGCTGTTGTGAATTTGAAAATGTTTGATACACTGTAAACAACTACACAAATGTGCAGTGTGTTGTCAAATACACCTCTCAGATTACTTGCCAATCGGAAAGAAGACATACTTTTGCAATGGAGAAATCTGGCTGCCCCACCTTAATTCAATTATTCAATGGAGCATTATTAACCTTGAATTATTCAAATTTTTATGCGGTCTCTGGTGTGCTGCTGCATTAAGTGTACAGTATCACTTAATGAAGGTTTTGTTTAAAATGTTCAACCTGAATCCAATCAAGCCTTTATATCTAATCTTCCCTTTACAGGGGCTAGAGCAGTGTTTCCCAACCTTCTCTCATGATGAGAATCACCTGGTGGAGTTGTTAAAACACAGATTCCTGAGTCCAAACTAAGAAGTGCTAAACTAGAATTTTTGGGAACATATAGGTAAAATTGTATACTTAACTAGTGCTCTAAGACAGATTTTATATACAGAGCACTAAGTTAGGTATGCAATTTTACCTATATGTTCCCAAAAATTCTAGTTTAGCACTTCTTAGTTGGGATTCAGGAATCTGTGTTTTAACAACTCCACCAGGTGATTCTCATCATGTGAGAAGGTTGGGAAACACTGGGCTAGAGGAACCAGTTAGACACCCTCAAAGAAACAAGGGAAAACAATCAGATACATAAAGAATGCTAGGCATTCTATAAGACAACCAATTTTATAGAAGATAAAATCACAAAGATTTGCCGAAACCGGTTTGGCTCAGTGGATAGAGCATCGGTCTGCGGACTGAAAGGTCCCAGGTTCGATTCCGGTCAAGGGCATGTACATTGGTTGCAGGCACATCCCCAGTGGGGGTGTGCAAGAGGCGACTGGTCGATGTTTCTCTCTCATCGATGTTTCTAGCTCTCTATCCCTCTCCCTTCCTCTCTGTAAAAAAAAATCAATAAAATATATATTAAAAAAATAAAAAATAAATAAAATCACAAAGATTAGAGAAAATTGATGGCATAAAAAAGGGTCAGGATAGGGTGACCAAATGGGGTTTTGAAAGGACCTATTCTCATTGCATGGGAAGCTTTTGCAGAGTTTTTAAAGAAAAAGTGCAAAACAACATATACTCTGATTTATGAGCTCTACAAACACAGGAACTGTCTTATTCACAGCTGTACCCAAGACCTAGCAGCCATCAAACAAATACTTTCCAAAAACTTAAAAAACAACCAAATGCTTGAATGGATTCTGGTTCTGGAAAAATAAACAGCTTTTTAGACATAGTTGGGATATTTGGGTATATTTGAAAATTGGCTGGTATTAGATGTTAGGCAATTATCACATTTGTTCAATGTAATATTGGTATAGTAGGGCTGCCATAATTAAATACCACAAAAGGGGTGACTTAGACAATGGAAATTAATTTTATTACAATTCTGGGGGCTAGAAGTCTGAGATCAAGCTGTGGCAGGGTTGGCTTTCAGGACTCTGAACTTTAAGATGACTGTTTTACTATCTTTGTCTTCACATGGTCTCCTCTCTGTGCCTGTGTCCTAATCTTATAAGGACACCAATCCTATGGATTAGAGCCCACCCACACTAATGACCTTATTTTAAGTTAATACATCTTTAAAGGCCCATTCTCAAAAAACAATCACATTCTGAGGTTCTGGGGGCTAGGGCTTCAACATTAGTTGTTGTTTTTTTAAATATATTTTATTGATTTTGTACAGAGAGGAAGGGAGAGAGATAGAGAGCTAGAAACATCGATGAGAGAGAGTCATCCATCAGCTGCCTCTTGCACATCCCCTACTGGGGATGTGCCCACAACCAAGGTACATACCCTTGACCGGAACCGAACCCGGGTCCCTTCAGTTCCCAAGCCAATGCTCTATCCATTGAGCCAAACCGGTTTCGGCCAACACTAGTTTTGAAGGACACAATTTAATCCATAACATCCATAGAAGGCATATGATACAGTATATGAAAGTCATAAAACACAATAGTAAAGGTAATACCCATTAATCCACCATTCAACATAATACAAACTAATCAATTTCCTACATCTTTGTGCCAATCCCATTCCCCTAAACACTCCCAAAGCTAACCACTATCTTGTCTATTTTCAAAAAATTTATTCTCAAATCACTGCCTTTTAAAGGTTCAGTCTCCTCATTCTGTAGACCAGGAACAGCGTTGTGAGGCTCTCTACTAAGTGTCCCCTTCTCTTGTCTATTTTCATCTCCATAGGGCAAAGCGGTTTTTAAAAGTATTTGTTTGATGCCTGCTAGGTCTTGGGTACAGCTGTGAATAAGACAGTTCCTGTGTTTGTAGAGCTCATAAATCAGAGTATATGTTGTTTTGCACTTTTTCTTTAAAAACTCTGCAAAAGCTTCCCATGCAATGAGAATAGGGCCCTTCAAGACCCCATATCCTATTCCCTTCACTCCTGAAACATTGACCTGCCATGGCCCCTTCAACTCCTCACTCATTCTCATTTCAGGGTCTTCGCCATCTTCATTTTGCTTGAGCTCTTCTGAGACCTTTGCATGGCAGTCTTCTTCTCATTACTCATATGCCTGCTTAAATGTCAAATGCACAAGGTATTTCCTGACCACATTGTCTGAAGTACACATCCTACTACCACTGAATTCCTCTTTTGTTCTCTTTTTAGCTCTTATCACTAAAAGTACTGCCCTTAGGACGTAAATTTTGTCTTTGTCATCACTGTACCTGGAGTAACACTGGATACAAGGGCTTTCCTTAAATTATCAAATTGGTCCTGACCTAGGGTTGTTTCGATAAAACAATAACATGTATTTTGAAATGGGCTTTGCACTCACAGGCTAATTTATTATATTAAGGTCTGTCCTCTGAATAATCCTAAGCTGTTTCTTCATAGCATAACTATTTAATGAACAGGCATTTGTTTGATGCCTGCTAGGTGTTGTCTCTGTGATGGGTCTTGGTTACAGCTGTGAATAAGACAGTTCCTGTGTTTGTAAGAGCTCATGTAGTAATGCAATGAATGAATGAACCACTAACCTATAACTGAATATATCTAATATACAATGCATTTTAGAATACTGGAATAGAGACGGAAGGGTGAAAGCAAGGAGTCTTATTTTTTCTCCTTTTCAAAAATGCGTAAACCAAAAGGACCAGATGCCTCACAAGGGCCTTCCTCTAACCCTGATCCTGACACACTGCAATTGGACTTGATCATTATAACCTGAATTGCTCCTTTTTGGATGTTTCTTGGAGGCAATTGCTTAATTAGTCCACTGAAAATGAAGGCATTAAAGTCCAATCAGAAGTAGAGGCTGGCAGAAACCGGTTTGGCTTAGTGGATAGAGCGTCAGCCTGCGGACTGAAAGGTCCTGGGTTCGATTCCAGTCAAGGGCATGTACCTTGGTTGTGGGCAAATCCCCAGTAGGGGATGTGCAAGAGGCAGCTGATTGATGATTCGCTCTCATCGATGTTTCTAACTCTTTATCCCTC